ACGACGACTTCTATTTGAAGTCATCGCGGCTCGTACCGGTCACGGAAATTTCGCCGCGTACCACAGACGTTTCAACAACCCAAACGCGAACATGAAGTGTTCGTGCGGAGAGGAGACTACAGCAACGCATTTCATGCATTGCAGACTTTACACTCATCATACCTGACGACTAAGGGGAACTACCCCATACCAACAATTTCTTAAAATTCTTCTAGGGCCCAAATGCCTCAAAGAATTTTCAACGTTTGTGCAGGAAACTGGCTGCTTCAAAAGCCAACCTGCGACCTTGTCCACAGCTCTCAGCATGGACGAAGAATAATATTTATGGTGGAAACCGTGAAAGGGAAGGAGTCAGGGTGAGGAGCGCTGATACTGGACCGTTAAATTGGAATTTCCTTTGTTTATTAATTCTAACTGTTAGAATTTGTTTTTGTATTAAACAGGCTACAATTTAGGTAGTGGTTTCACGCGGTTGGAATGAGTTGGGCTGTGGTAAAGAACACAGGGATCCCTTCCGGCTCCACCGGTCTTGTACCCATAGCGGACCGGGAGCAGTAGCTTAGGACCTTAAAATCACAAACAAAAAACAAACAAACCGCAAATACATAGAACAATTCACACTACCCAAATGTGATCCTTTTACCGACAGAGACATCGTGACCTACGATTTCCGTATATTCACATTTTATCACCCTACCATCCTAGGAACTTAAAACCTCAAGTGGCTGTATGGCGTGGGCACAAGGGGGTCATTGGGGGCTTTCCATGCCTAGATGGCGTCAAATTCGTTCATACTGTGCCTCTGGCTCTGCGTCGCTTACACTTGTACTTGTAGCGCACACTTCCCACACTTCTAGTCACCTTCGTTCGTTCCATCAATATTGCGCCCATCTCATCGCGCGATATTTCCAACAGATCATGTTGGACACGGAGGGTCAAATGAAAAGTGTCAAAGTATATAAATGAAATCTCTGCTCCTCAACTCCACTCTAGCATTGATGCTACATACCCATCTAAAACTATTTCCGAAAGAGAATATCTTCTTTTGGTCCTCCAAGCTTACATCATGAGCTAAATTACATGTGCTGTTGATCAAAAGATCTCAAGTTGGTGCTTTGACCATCATGACCATCCTTATCAACATCATCTTGGTGAGATATCAAAGCTCGAGAGAATTAACACGAGAAGATAGGTCATCCCAACACCCAATGATTCACATTACTAGATTCAGTGGGTTCCAAACTAACAATTGTTTGATAGATCACGCCCAACCACATTTGTGTGTTTTGCGATTCATATCCTCCTCTCCGTATTCATATTGTCGAGGACGTATATATGGAGGCTAGCTAGTGCTACGGTTCGAGTGTCGATGCTGGAGCAATCAGATATACGAAAGTAATTTAAAATTTCCTCTAGGGCTAACAATCATAGTATAACTTTGCCGGCAAAGACGAATTCTTCACCTTCCAGTGGTGCCGGTGTAATCGCTCAGTATGCTCTGCATATCTGGGATAGCCAAGAAGAATCGCATCCGAATCGAAGTCGAAAGCAAACACATGCATATCTCCATTTGACGACTTCTCAACCATGCAGCACTCACCATTATCTTCTGAGTCCTCAACCCCGATCTAACCACATATCATCTCGCCTCGACGACCGACAAAGGCGTCATCCCAATTGCAAACAGGAGCTTGCCTCATTCATCACCGGCCATCACTCTCTACAAATTTACGACGCTACGTATACCCGCAAGGAGGAAATCAAGTCATAATATACAAAGTTGGGGTCTTAGTTTATGGGGGACTGCTGCTCTAATGGGGTTATAGATCTTGAGGAAGGACAGGCGGCTGAGATTTGGAGCGAGAGGGGAAAGAGGTCTCTGAAGACCGTGTTGGGACTGACATTTTCGAGGGGTTTTCAACTTAGGATTTTTTGTGGGCGTCAAGACCGAGATTTCGGCTAACCAGCCAGGAGGGCTTCTTTTGTCGATGAGTCAACGGCACTACCCAGCGCGCTGGACGGTACAATACAAGTTAGGCTAAGCTACTATACAGCAATCACGCTCTGTCTAAACTTTTCTGAAATTTCAGCACGACCTTCGGGTAGGAGTTGGAAGGAAGCTAGAAAGGAAGAGAGTGAATTTCCTGAGGTACACACAAGTCTGCAGCGCCCAGCTGGCCGGACTCTTCGAACGCTTCAGAAGGGGCTCTATGTCTTCGGATTTAGTTTTAATGTCGGTATTAGAAGAGCCCCGCACCCGGTGGTTTTTGCGATTTTTCCCGGCTACCATACACCCGCAAATGGCCATCGTTTCGTTGGCTGGAGAGGGGAGATAACGAAGGGTTAAGAGCTCCTCTAAGTGTATGATCGAATGAGGACTTGTGAGGGGTGGTACTGTTTGAGGGGAGCTATATGGGAGGCATGGGAGGGGATATACTACTGGCATAGATATTTTTGACCTGTAGGCAGAGAGGACCTGCATGTTCTACATAGTCATAGACTCAGACAGGACAATAAAATGAAAAAAAAAAAGTAGTATCACTTCGGCTATTTATACATTTATGAAGATATCTAGAATTCTCGTTCTTGGCTGATGTCTGCTTCTCGCACATTCCACTTACAGTAGTTCCCAGTCTTGCTACCAATTACTAGAATATTCCAGTTACAGCTGAACTGATCTGGAATAAAGCTAGACTACTATAGAATTATAGAAGCACGTGAGTACAATCACGTGCCAGACAACAATCGGCTCACAAGCCGTTACAGCTAGGGCCTGAGAGAGTGTTGAAATGAGGTGCAATCACTGATACTTTCATGTGCCTAGTCGTATTTGTAGAGCCGACGAGGCTTTGATCGAAAAGGATATTGTTGGAAATTTTTAATCATTGACTCGTGGGCCGACCTCTCCCGTAATTAGAAATCTGACTGCACCCAGCTCTTAGAGAATAGTTCGCGCGAAGATCCATAGACATTATTTACAGGACTTGGGCGTTCCGTCCACATTCAGGACCATGTTGCATTATAGAATTGGCTTTCCCGAGCTTTGAGTGATAACCATTCAAGACCGTTCTGACACTGGCAGTGTACTAAGATGAGTATTCTTCGCTCAATCCTTGATGCATAAACTTCATTTAGAAAAGTCCTAATACTAGTGATAGACTTTGGCCACTAAATTCTACGAGATTACCACTCACATCGTCTTTCGCTATGATACCCATATGCGTGATGCCATTTAATTTGTGGCGCTAGTCCCATGTTGCCATGTCACTCAGAAGTTCACAACCTGTCGCATTCGTCTAACTCGCGATTACCGTTAGATTTGCAATTAACTCCTTTGAGTTAGACCCCTTACGATAATTAAGCGTGTCTCCGAGTCCCGTCCTAGCTGACGTCAACGTTCATGCGCTAGCCCCGTTGTTTATAGGACACGACTCAGGCACTTGATCCCGAAAGTCGAACCTACCGAGATTACCAATTTAATATGAGCCAGGAAAAAACGGGACAACAAGCATTTTCAAAGATTGGTGCCGTAGATCTCGCCTGAACTCCCGATGCTGTCCAACAATAGATCAAATTCTACAGCGACACCTTGACTTGCGCCAACCGCTGTTGTATTGACCGAAGTCATCTCCTTACATCCCCATCCACCGAAGCAAACGCAATGCCTCCTATATAAAGTGTAGGAAATTTTATCCGAAATCGTAGCCTCGGTGCCCACAAGCACCCCAAAGTGGGAATCACTCAAAAACGATAGTCTTAGTATGCCCATCAGTGACCTCTTTCCTCACTCTACATCCCAGCCGTTTATGCTGACTAAATATATGAAGCCCAATAAGTGCATTGGTTCCTCGAAGGCTAGAGCCCAGTCTTTGTATGTTATGACTTAGTCTCCTCCTCGCGGGTATACACAGCATCGTAATTTCGCAGTAGCAGATGGCCGATTTTTGATGAGGCAAATTCCCGATTGCATTTGGAGTAGCGCCTCTATCGGTAGTTGAGACGAGGTGGTGTAATAAGATTAAGGTGAAGGACTCACGTGAGAATGATAGGTCTGAAATTGAGAGGTCGTCGGTTTTAGGTATGCTTGTGCTTGTGCTTGCCCTTGACTTCGATTCAGATGGGATTCTCTCTGGTTATCTCAGATATCCAGAGTATCCTGGGCGGTTACACCGGCACTAATGGAAGGTGAAGAAATCTTTTTTTCCGGCTCCGCAGTTGGCACAGTCGGTTTAATGTTAATTTAACTTGCCAAGCTCCAGGCTCTGCATCCATAGGTAATCTAGATTGGTGAAGCTGGCGAGTATCACTAAATATAACTTCCACTCAGTCATACTGCCCGGACCAGCAGCAAGATGAAGCTCACCATCACCTGCATAAGAAAAGAAAGATGAAATTAAATGGTGCTATCATCTGTGCAATTCCTCAGTCTTCGCTCTTATCGATCAAGTAGGCTTTCAGAAGGCTTCGCATGCACTTGGGCGACTCAAGGGAGCTACAGTTTAGATTCAAGTTCTATACAAAGCAACTTCATGCTTCCACAACCCCAATTATTGACAGACAACGTCCTAAATTACTTCATTATCGCGTCTAGGAATTTAATCATGATTCGATTACGCTTTACGTACATGTAGCATTACATCTTTATGGAACTACAAGTAATACGCTCCTCCTATTAGTGGTAATCACTATACACCATGCTAGCCTCCGCGAGTCATCACAAACCTTCTTAGGATCCTATAAAGTTCTATATTAATATCATGTAATACATATTGGTAGATTGAGGTAACATTCTCCAAGCTAGATTGAATATCATGATTAGGCTTTAAATCTATATATTGAGATTCATCCGTTCAGTACTCCTGTATGACCATCCGCATAATTGTCATCCAAGTGAGGTAAGAGTTTTAAGTAATAGTACATCAAGACTACTAGCCCTAACAAGTTCAAGCCATCGCCAATTCGACCTGAAAATAACGCAATCACTCTAAAGTTTGAAAGAAATGCTGCTGGAAAAATGCGTCTTCGCATTTTTGCTTGCTGTCCCCGGACGAATCCTCAACTCTAAACGTCTAGTCATGGTTACCAATGGGAACGAACAAAGCTACAGCGTCTATGAAAACCCTTGGTATCGTCGATTTCCTGATCCTAAGAATCAGTTCATCACTACTGTGAAAAACAACGGACGAAGCAAGAATACTCTTCTCACCTACTATTGTTCCGAGGAACTCACACCTGATCAAATCGTGCGAGAAGTCGTCCTAGGTCTACCTAGAATCTGGTATTCCTCGGAGTTAGGGTTCAGGAAGAATATAGCTTCTTACAAAAAATGTTGGGAATTTATCAAGGATACCCTCGATAAACCCGGTCCAGATGCCAAGCCTATACAACAAATAGTACTGGAATATCTAGAAAGTCAGAAGCGCTGCACCGCCGAGCAAGTCGCCAGTCTAGCTTCCGAAGGATACGTTCGTGTTGGCGGAGAAAATAGTTGTATAGCGCCGTTTCTAAATAACAACGCGCCCTTGATAGAAACAAATGATAAATTCCAGCTGGATAGAAATCTATGGAGAGGTGAAGCTTACCTTGGAAAGAAAAAAACTGGTAAAAAGACAATGGCGCTGGCCTGGTTCCAAGGTCATCTACACCTTTTCAGGATCGATGAGAATGGTTCTAGCTGGCACCTGTTGACGAGCGTTGGACAAGAGGCATATAACGGAAAATTTATTCATGATTTCATCAAAAGCGAATATACACACGTCCTTGATCAAAATCCCCCCAAAGAATCAAAGCCAGCAGCGTCTACTACGGATGTTTCTCCCCCACCACGAAAATCATGGTGGTTTGGTAGACGACGAAGTGGACAGATAGAGCTACCTCCGTACAATTTAATTCCTAGCTTACCAATGGAAAGAGTAGGAGGGACTCTGATATGCGATGTAAAACAGGCGAATATGCCGGACAAAGTGGAGCCCAAGAAAACGATATTAAAAATGCCTTTCTCAGATAGAGGGAATAAGAAACAGGTCACTCCTTTGCCTTGAAAATAGCACAAGACAAGAATCCTAATTTACAAGATTATATCAGACTCAAAGTAACTTCTAATTACACAAAAAAGTATCATTTGTCGGAAAGTATTACTAATTGTTACGCGCTAAGTGCGGTACATTTCTCCGTTACCGAGTCATTATGTAGTTGATTCAGCTCATACCATGAAACCCGTTCACAGTGTTCATAGACAGAGAAGATAGACACAATATATACTTCAATTTTGGAACCATTCGTTTTGCATTTAACTAATTCTGAATTTACGTATAGTAAGGCTAGTTCAAATCATCATTTATTTAAAAAAAATACCCTACCTCACTTAGATCTGCGTAGTGCACCATGCGCCGGTGATTCAGAAAGTCGCCGTTTCTCGAAGGTATCCCAGTAATGACTAGGAGGTTTAGTACGAGTGGATAACGTTTAAGGATGTAGATGCAGGACTGGACTAGTAAAGAGTCACGACATGGAGGCGAGGAATTGTCGAGAATATACGGGATTGCGGAAAGTATGATATAGGTGAATAAAAATATAAAAGATCGAGGAGTTGGAGAACTACTTTATGGTTACTCCAGCTTCCTTGAGGAAAACTGAGCTCCGTAACAAAATTCAACTGAGGCTATAGCAACATTTGATCGTGCCTTCGGTTCCTCTAACTGTGAGAGTTTTCCCGAGAAATTTCTTCTTAAACCTTCCCCTGGAGCCTTCTTAAAGGATGCCCCTCCTTAACAATCGAGGTGGAATTCTGCGGTGTCCATGCGTCCCGAAAGACCACAACAGTATGCGATCCCGAAGGGAGTTGTCCAAAACCGGCATTAAAAGACAAAGATCCTAAAATATTACAGGTCCTTTACTACAAGTCAAGGCCTACTATTCTAGTTGGAGCAAGTCATGCCGATGAGAGCTTAACCCTCAGGATCAACTGACATATATTGTATTATTCATGTTGGAAATCAACCTGTAAATTAAGGAATCGATTAGATAGATCTTTAAATAGTCCTTCATAGTCTTGGACTCAATAGAGTCTTAGATTTATATCAATCAACCAATGATGCCGATATGCACACCGCGGAGGAAGCGAAGAGGGGCTGTTACGGCCTATAACGCCAACAAGAGGAAATAAGAGATGCAATCGACGTATCCTCTCATCGAAGAGAAAATGCTGAGCCTCGAAGAAATCGTAAAGAGGGACAGGGGTAGCAAAAGATCATTTCTAGGGCTTGGTGTTATGGTTATGAGCTATGCGGAAGTAATATTGCGGAGTGATGAGGAGTGGATGATGTTATATTTTGTGAGTGACAGTGAATAGACTCATACAATATTATACTGTAGGTGTATGGACAGATAGTATAAAACTAAACCTGTGTCCATTTATTGTGGATATATCTATGAAACTAAATACATGCTCGCCTAACCAGTATACTAGTGATGTATGCTGTGGCCTTGAGACAAACGCGTTGCCCTAGCCTCGACTACCTCGTTGTCCCATATCATAACACTTGGCCCTCAAGATCAGGTGGCATAAAATTATGATGAAATAAAGAATTCATTATCCTGATTTGGCGCCTTCAGGCCCATGCTGGTTATTATGGGAAGATATGGACTTTAAGTAGGATGACTCAATTTGACGTTTAGAACACTCACACTCAGATTTCATTTGCAGATACCACTCGAGGTTAACCCTTACGGCGTATAAGCTCTTCCGTGCATACTCACCACAGGGAAAAGCGTGAAAAACGGTGGCCATCCAAGTGTGCTTTCATCATCCCACAAGTACAATATCACCGTGAGAGAGAGAGTATGGTGTGGGTTTTACTGGATTCGAACCAGCTTTCTCCTGTCTCAAATGGGGTAGGTTTTCGAGCTACCTAGAATCTACTGGGGAGAACGAATTGTGATTGTGAGGAGAGGAAGTGCATACATACAGTGGTTTTATCAATATGATGTGCTAGACACTACTATGAAGTGGACGATGATATGTGTTCGCTTTATTAGACTCGTTTCCCGATGATTACTATCTACATGAAGGAGAATACTCCTATTTATACCTACAATTCATCTGTCTAATTGCTAGTAGGATATTACATATTGTGATTTAGATATTCTATCATATGCTGTAGAAAACTTGACATTCTTGCTCATATCATCCACATGCAACTGTCTATCATGTCTCTACACCAACCACATCTTGTATAGATCTCTCTATCATCTAATACGGCTTGTCTAGTTGGCCGAGTGATTTGACATCACAACAGAACGGCCCGAATGGTGTACCACTGCAGCATCAAACCCAAAATATGAGATGTCCACTGGAAAACTAACCATTAAATTAAGGAACCGATCAGCCATATCCTCAAGGAGTCTATCATAGTCTAGGACTCAGTAGAGACTTAAATTTAAATCAAATAATCGTAAAGAAGAGTTTAGCGGATCCCGCCCGAAAGGAGCTTTCATTGGATCCGAGGAGCTGCGTGAAAGTCATCGCACCACCGATGGCGATAACAGCGGTTCGAATACAAGTAAAGAAAGAAACTTTGATGCAACCAATAGAGCTGCTATCAAAGGTGAAATAGCACATTCCAAGCGCTTACACGGTAAAACACTTGGGAGTCATGATACAGAGGTCATCATACAGTCAGTCTCCCGGAGAGACACGGCCCTAAGCCGAGCCCGGCCCGAGGCATTTCAGGTCTCAAGGCACGGTTTTCCTGCGGATATTTACGGAGCTCCGCTGAGGTTAAAAATAGAAAGGAGTAGAAATGCCAAAAATTCAAAAATAATTGAGGAGGTTTGCGAGTCGACTAAGGTGAGAATCCTAGGCCTGATTTCAATAGAATCATACGGATACAAAATGAAAAGGAATAACAATGAGCGAAGAAGAATGGCCACACGAGAGGCTCTATTGTTCTGAGTCTCTCTTCACAGGCCTTGCACTAACGAGTGGTTCAACTCGACATTGTCTACGATACCATGGAGTACACCGCGCAGGCTTAGTCTCCCAGGACTTTAACTGCAGCCAGTGGGGGCACACGTAGACACTGTGTAGAAATGCAGCCCAGTGTGATGAGTGTTACGGCGCTCACCAGACTCGGGGCAGTTCTAGAAAAGGGGTTTCTCAAGTAAACTGAAGCAGTGAGTGTTAAAGATTTAATCTGTCCACAACTCTGAGCTTGATGATGGCCAGCAAGACGGAGAATATCGCAACCCATTATTCAAGATAAAAGGGTGAAAATGGCATTAATTAGAAGATAGGACCGATATAGTCGGGGGTGATTAGCCCAGAGTGGGTATGGGCATTGTGAATGTAGTCGGAAGCATCATCATTTATTTATTCATATTAATGTCATGCCAGCTCACAACACAACCAATTTTTTGAAATTCGAATTTTCGAATCTTCACCTTTTTCCCGTCTCCCTCCCTCACGCGCTCGTCGCATTCTATCAAAAAATTGTGATCGAGTCACTGGCATTTTCACCATGCCACCTGTTCGAAAAAAGCGTCCCAACACCAAGTTGGACAACACGAGAGTCCACCCGAGGGCTCTCGAACAAGTATCTGGCCTTGCCCAGTCTCCGAAATGCGCGGAGATGAGCAAGGCCTCAATCAAAGGGAAGGAAAAAGCCCTCCCCGCCATCGCTGAGCCCGATACTGACATGATCGGGTCAGTCGAAATTGTTGGGGAAATTCCTCAACGAACCTCCGTCCCCCACGGGATTGGAGAATCGTCCAAACCTCCTCCGACCACCTCAAAACCGTCGGAAAACGCTGCACCAATAGCAGCGTCAACATCAACGTCGCAGCCCAAAGCTACCACGAAAGCAGAGTGTCCCCTCGAACTTCGACCAATTGTCGAAGCCGAAAAACGACGCGCCGCCGAAATAACGGCAAATCTGGCCCTCTGCTCCGCCGCCATCTCTGGCGTCGAAGCCACCCTCCTCCCTTTGACCAACGGGTCAAATAGACAATTCGTAGACTCCATGAGAGTCTACCTACGCGCCGCCATTGCGCAATACATGGCCACGGGCCCGGCCACTACGCCACCCGTCCTCCCTCCTCGCCCAACGAACCCTCTCCCAAGGGCTCCCGACGCCAGGAGACAAACAATACCCACCGTCCCAGCTCTGCCTGTCAAAAGCACCTGGGCCACGGTAGCCAGGAACGGACTGCAACAAAAAGCAATCCCAACTGTGAAGGCTGTGCCGCGACCTGCGGCCAAAGCCCAACAAAAAGAAAACCCCAAGGCGAAAGTCGATAAGCGACTGTTCCTTCGCCTTGAAAAGGACCACCCGTGGCGAAAATTGTCCACAAGCAGCTTGAGAACTAAGTTGGAGTATACATTCGGTTACTTTAACCAAGAAATAACCTCACTCTACAGAGTGAGAACGGGCTTTGCTATGCTAGCAAAGAACGAAAAAACACGACAAGAGACTTTAGATGGCTCTTCGAAGCTGGCGAGTCATAACGTCAAACTCGAGGCATCTTCGGATCTTGTCGCCCTACAGATACCGAACGTACCTGTAAGTATAGTTACAGTGTGCGGTACCAGGGCGGTCGATGCAAGCTGGGTCTCTGCCAAGATTCTCGGTACGACCGGCGCCATACCAATCCAGGTCCGACCTCATGGGGCATGTCGACCTGGGGCACCGTATCAAAACTGGCATGCCCTTTTCACGCGGGACAACGCCCCTCGTGCGGGCTTCCGCCTCTTCGACGAGTCTGGTATGGCAACCATTCACAAGCCTCGTCGCCAAATTGAACAGTGTAAACGCTGTTTGGGCTTCCACGCCACTCGTGGTTGCTCCCGCGCTCCAGCCTGCTGGAACTGCGGCTCCAAAATTCACTCAGAAGCCGAGTGCAAGGCCCTTACCAAGTGTCGCAACTGTGGGGAACCCCACCGATCGGATTCTCGGGACTGCAAAGTTAGACCCAGAAAGTCTGGGCCGGTGACAAAAGAGCAGCTCGCATGGATACGCCACCTCGAGCAAGGGAAGTTCGCGGA